AATAAGCACATTGTTTTATTTCAGATTCATAATGATAGTGTAAGGTAGGCAAGAAGGACAAGTAAGGCCTATTTCAGAGATAAGTAAGTGAGGCTCAGTAAAGGTGTGGGACTTGCCCATATCATGGCAAATCTTAGGGGGAAACTCAGATATTCTGACACCAGCACCCTCCTACTCCCAGTTCTGTGTCCTCTCCGTGAGGGTTTGTTGAATGCTGAACACGCCAGCCCAAAGGCACTATCTGGAGGCAATGCTAAACACTGCCCTCATTAGCTTCTGTCTGGCCACTGAAGAAAAGTTCCCCACAGCAACATGGAGAAAGTAAACACTGGAAAAATCTTTTCATTGACTTTGAGGCAAATCTGACAAAATCTAATATATTAACATCATTAGATGTCAGTTGAACTGGAATAAAATAATGTCTTGAAGAGAATCATATGCTTTTCAGTTTTAAATAGTTAATCTGTACAAAACTTTTAGCACTGGTGACTGATAATCTACTTGATTTTATTTTCCTCCAAACTCCCACGCACCAGCTGAAAGGAAGTGCTTCCCTTATCAGCAGGAAGCACGTTGATCCGCTGAATCCACAACAAGGGAGAGTCAAAAGCTGTTGCCAACCCTGGTTACTTGTGAAGGTGATTTAAAACTTTTCACAAAAGAATGCTGCTAACACTGTTTTTGTTTTTGTCTAAAAGAAGTTATGAGTTATAAAGCTCTGGTAAAATAAATATACTAATGGCCTCTTGTGCACATTCTATTCTGGAGTTTTTGTGGATGTGTGTGTATGTGCGTTTAATAAAAGCAAACAAGCAATGAAACAGCTAAACGAGATCAAAGGTACAAAATTTAAAAAGCAAATATGCAGCTACCTGCTTAAAGTGGGCATTTCCTGAATACCATAATCTGGAGACCAACAGCATCATGACAGGGACTAGTTGGAAAGTCACATGGCCAGAGCCCATCCAGGTTGGAACAAATGAAGATAAAGCCAAGCCAATAAGGACCTTAGCCTAGTTCTCTCATTTCTGAGGGAAATGCCTGAGAAATCAGTGGTTGGTGCCCAAATGAAGCCAAAAAGTCATAGTACAATAAAAGAGAATACAGTTTTAAACACAATAAAGGATAATGCTCACATACGTCATTAACATATACATTCAATATTTTAACAGTTTTTCTATAGCAAAAAAAAAAAAAAAAACTCTGTTGTATTTACTGGAATACACAGGCCTCCTTTTTGAGGTCAGAGAGAATGGGGAGGTAATGAGGAATGTGAGTTTGTCAACATGGCCTGGGTTGTCTAAAGGTGACTGGCTTGTAGTTAAGAATTACAAAGTCGGTAATTCCTGGTTTGATGTCACCTGCTAATCCCTCAGCAATTTTGAAGTGTGCATGGTCACTCTCCTGAGAAATGAAAGGTAAATGGCAGGCATCTGTCCTACGAGGAGAGAAAACTAAAGCTAGATCACTGGTCCTTCTGAAGGCAAGGCCAGGGCGGGGCTCACAGAATTCACAAGGATCGGACGATCTGCGGACTGGCAGATTCACTTTGTGAGAGATTCTGTGAGTTAGCACATATTTGGTGAGGATAGACACACAAATTGGACTGGGTATGAAATGAAATCAGAGAAGAAAATCAGGTAAAATGAAGGTCAAACAACATTAAATTTCTATGAGAAAAAAAGAGTAAGAAGATAGAAACAAGAAAGAAGAGGACAAAACATGGTGCTTTCAGGAGAGGACAGGGCTGTCCATAGCTGTAGATCTCCCATACTGGATTGAACGGCATCCCTTCAAATTCATGTCCACCAGGAACCTATGAATCTGGCCTAAATAGACTTGGCAGAAGTGATCAAGTTCAGATGCGGCCATTACTGTATTAGGATGGGATCCGCATCTGACACAACAAGAGGGAGATTTGGACCGCGACACGCAGAAAGAGGCCTTGTGAAGACGAATGCAGAGATGGGATTGAGCATCTGGATGCCAAGGAAAGCCAAGAACTGCCAGCAATTAGCAGAAGTTAGAAGAGGTAAGGAAAGAGTTTTCCCAGGAGAATCCTTCAGAGCGATGGCTCTGCCTACACCTTGGCTTAGCACTTCCACTTCCAGAATAAAGAAGATCAACTTCTGTTATCTTGGGTCACTCAGCAGCCTTGGGAAGTTAATGTATCCCCATTGTTTTCCTAGTCAGTGGGATGGTCAAATTCCTAGGCAGGCACAAAATGGTAGCAACCTTGAGTGCAATATTTGAAAGCATGCAAATGTGTAACCTCTTCTTACTCCATCTTGTATTGATTCATTCCTATATTTCATCCTAAAGTTTATTTGAAGGTTGGTCAAGGATAAGGTGAGAAAAGAGAAAAAGTCTGCCATTGAGAAGACTAGAGACACAGGGCCAAGCATCCTATGAAGCAGGAAACAAGTACAGTCAAGAACGAAGCTGTTAAGTATGACTTTTAGCATTGAGAAATAAGTAAAGGTTTAGAAAATTTGTCTTCATAGGGACTTCATCTCTGCCACACAATTTGTGATAATCCATTTTTTCTGATTTTTATCTAGCAATGGTAGAGAAAACAAAATAGAAAAAATAAGCCATAACATGAAGTTAATGGCTTGAGAAATAGATACAAGGAGCTAAGAAATCAAGGCTGTCCATAGAAATAAAATGATATTTAAATTACTAAATAAGGTATCATCTAAATATTAAAAATTAAATTAGCATAGCCATCTGACTATCTTAGATACTGTGTTCTATATGTTAAAGTGTTTCACCATGGAATATCACTAAAGGGGCATAAATTCAAGATAGTAATATTTTAAGAGTCTTCACATAATATAAATTTTAATATCCTATAAATATATGAAATGATGAAAGCTTTTATTTTAACCCAAAGAGGTAAAGATGATCTTGTCATCTTTCCATTTTGATTAACTGCATCCATTTCCTTCCAATCTTCTCATTCAAATCAAATTTAAAAATATTTTCCCAGTAGAAAGTTTTGCTTATAATTCTTCAAGATAAATCAATCCACCTCTCAGGTATTTTTGAAATTATCAAATATTACTAAACAAAATATAATAAAATTATCTGCCAAGGACATGAAATGAAACCAAAGCGACTATACTAATTTCCCCAGAAATAATTAATAATGCCAAAGGCTACAAATGGCTACTTTAAGACATCCCCCAAACAGGCAGAGAAAGAAGAAACATGTTGTCTTTGAGTGGCTTCCAAGCACAACACTCACAATTCTATTTAGAAGTATTTATTCTAAACCTGTGTTCTTTCCATTTCATCATGTTGGTAGGCAGCCTCTTGCAGGGACAAGCTCAGTGAGCCCCCAGGGATCTGCATAGTTCTCCTCCCCAATACCCCCCCCCTCCCCCCCGCCACCAGCCTAACCTTTCCTCCACAGGGAGGTCACTCCACACCAGCAAATGCACAAACATGGGCAGGACCTCACTGATGGCGGTGGTGCCCTCTGACCCACCAAGCTCTGTCTAACCTGAGCCATAAGATTGCTCTCAGGGATTGCAGCATCCAAGGCTACAGGGCCAAGGCTGCAGGCAGCCATCCAGTTAGGTCCCTAGCTTAGGGGAGGCAAAACAACCAAATTAACCAAATTCTCGGGTGACCACTTCATCCCCGAATCAAGCCAGTCTGTTCCGGGGGCCACTGGGCTTTCACTCTTCACTTTGATTCCCTCGTCTGGTAAGCTAGTTTGTGGACCTACACCTTGTATCAGACTAGATTGCCTCTGCTTTCTCGTAGACTGGTTAATGCTATCTGCCATAGGTAGCAACTCCAAAAGAACAGTTTTCAAATGCGCAATAAAACAGTATTGCTTTGAAGGATGGACAAATATCAGCGATTCTGGGCTAGGCCTCTATCAAGTTATGTACTCTGTCACTGCCCACCTCTCTCAAATTTTATTGCTGGTTGAACTTGAAAAAAGAATTAATTGTTTGATTTAGCAAGGAGTCCTTGGAACTAGAACATTAATGACTTGGGGAAATTTGCCCACATTTCTTTAAAAATCGTTGTTACTATTATGTGAAATTAGTTATAAAATTATCTAGTATAAGCTCTGACCTCGTTTGCATTGCAATATCATTTAATCTTCGTAATGGAGTGTTGTCAGGAATAATTACTTGTTTTTTCAGCAGAGTGTAGCTCTTTTAAAGCACACACTTTGGAGCTCAGTGCCACACATTTGGTTTTGCATCTTGGTTGTAGCCCCTATAGGATTTGTGAATTTTGGTGAGTTATTTAATTTCTCTATGGTTCTTGTCTCAGTTTTCTCATCCATAATATGGGGATGATAATGCTTACTTAAGAAAAGTATTAGAAGGAAGCATGAGATAACATTTTTGAAGTATAGTGCATGAGGAACATAATTTTTGTAAAAATAATGCCAACAACAACAGTAATAATAAATGAGGTAGAAATTAATGCAGTAAGCACTTTTAATCATTTTCATCTACTTTGTATAGGAAAATATAACAGACTTTTATCATAATCAATTTCTAAAGGTAAATTACATTTAGATGTGAAAACCTCTGTAATTTAGCTTGTGAGTAGTCTGTACAACTAGAAGAAAAAATATCAGGGAAAAAGTATCTCAACGTCATGACTTACACACAGAACATCAAACTCTACCAGCTAACTTCTGCCATGTAGTTCCTATTCCACATCAAAGTTTCTTTCTTTGTTTTGAGAGACAATGAGGGCTAGTGGCATTACAAAAAGAAGCTCCTTGGATATGTTAATATTTGAGAGAAATATGAAGACTTAAGTAACTACTGAAAAAGAGAAACCTCTGAGTACAAAAATTAATGTCCTGCTTTGAACATCACATATGTTCTGTATTGGCTTAGTCAGTTTTGGCTGCTATAATATTTGAAACTGAAAACACACACACACACACACACACACACGACACAATTGTATGGTTTTTTTTTTTTTTTCATATTGTACAAAAAAAACATGGACTCCCCTGGAAAGTAAATGCAACTTCTGTCAGAGCTGTTGTTGCTAGGAAACCAGAACACAAACAGAAGATTCGAGAAAGCCCTTCTTTTGGCTCAGATCTCAAGGACTGTTCTAAATTGTGCAACATATGATTTGGGAAGGTCATGGCTGTTCAAGGGTTATTTTTTTCTTTTTGTAACTGTCTCAGAGATTGGCAATGGGAAGAGAACTCCAACTTCTCAAACAGTAGCAACATGGGAATTGGGAGGTAAGGCCCTTGCTAGTTATGAGACTGAGTGGCAACACTAAGTGAAGGTCGAGGTTGTGTATATTTACTCTTGTTGTCAAGGAAGCTGAAAATGTCAGGATTTAGCTTTTTCCACTCATTCTGGAAAGTCTGACCATGTTTCATGCTCCCTCTGACTGCTAGGGCCTTGCTGACAAGCTCTGAAGCAAGGCAAAAAGAGCTCCAGGATTTCTTTGTAAAATAATACTCTATTTTAACAAAGGGGAGTTACTGATAAACAGATTTAAAAAAAGAAAGGATTGTCTGTTGAGGAGTTCTTTGTAAAAAGATAGGAATGAGAATTTGTTTAAATAAAAATCAGATAGTATCACAATGTAGAAATATGTGCTTTGGCTCCAGTTCAAGATAATATTCACTTCCAGTTTGTTATATTTAAAAATATTTTTAAAAGATCAAGAAGATAAAAGTCCAAAATATCAAATAGGCTCAAATACCTATAACAGACAGGACTGGATACAGCTTTATAAATGTGAAAGAAAGTCTAGTCAGTATTTAGGGAAATAACTCAAATGGAAGTAGTGGTTTTTAAAAGTTTCTCTTTTGCTTAAGTCTCTACCCAAACAAACCAGGATTTATCTCATCTCACATTATTAGAAGAAAGCATCCATGGGATTCTGTGTTTTATTTGTGTGTCTTTCCCAAGAGGTTGCATACAGACTAGGTGAAAGGAGCTGAAGCGTCCTTGATCATAAAGAAGGTTGCTTTAGAGGCGGATGGAAAGGTGCTTCGCCATTCCTCTGGGACATTCTATCGCAGTTTGGCAGGAAGCAACACTGTGAAAGCAATTTCTGAGGCCAGATGGTCTGATTCACAGCCCAGCCCTGGAATCCTTGTTGACCACAATTCATAAAAACCACATTCATTGTGAACCTCGTATCTTTAGTTTGGTGTGAATTTTTGTACTATACAGAAATAAGGATCAGAACAGACAACAGAATGGTCATTCAATAATAAAAAGAGTGCTACAGGGGCTCGCGCTGTGGAATAGAGGGTAAAGCCGCCACCACCTGCAGTGCCAGCATCCCATATGGGCGCCGGTTCAAGTCCCAGCTGTTTCACTTCCGATCCAGCTCTCTGCTATGGCCTGGGAAAGCAGTAGAAGATGGCCCAAGTCCTTGGGCCCCTACACCCACATAGGAGACCTGGAAGAAGATCCTGGCTCTTTGCTTTGGATCGGCATAGCTCCGGCCATTGCGGCCAACTGGGGAGTAAACCAATGGATGGAAGACCTTTCTCTCTCTCCACCTCTCCTTCTCTCTTTGTAACTCTGACTTTCAAATAAATCTTTTTTTTAAAGTGCTACAATAATTTTCAAACATGAAAAGGTCAGTAATAATGATCCTACATTTCAGTTATGAACTTTAAGGAAATTACTAAGAAAAAAAAGTGGCAATTGGTATTAATGTTGTATGTCACTGCTTGTCACATTGCTTATTGCTGGCCACTTAGTCCTTCAGTGTCTTAGCTGGGGACTCATTAAGGTCTTACTCCCCCCTAGATTTTCGTCATCTCAACTCTGTAAACCCTCATGACTCACAATGGTCCCCTTGGGTCCCTAGTACCCCATAGTCCACGATTTCTTCAACTATAATCTCTCCTGGCATTTCCCACTCCTGCTCTAAAACAACATTGATTCCCTATTCCTTATCACATTAGGTTTATATTAGACTGGCTGACCTTCAGAGTTCTATAAAGTCTAGCCCCTACAGACCGGGTAGCCTTACATCCTGCTGTCATTATTACGTCGTGGTCCTTTCTACCTCCTCCTTTGCTCACGTTGACCCAGGAATTGCCTATTAGTTCTTGCTCTGATGGTTCTGGAAGGTTCTAAAATCTCAGAGTCCATGAATATTTACCCAACGACTCATGGCCTCCTTACCAGCCTCACATCTGAAACCTCACAAATGAGCACTTCTGTTAATATTCTACAACTCTGCTTTTTTTTTTTTTTTAAGATTTTTACTTATTTATTTGATAGGTAGAGTTACAGACAGTGAGAGAGAGAGACAGAGAGAAAGGTCTTCCTTCCATTGGTTCACTCCCCAAATGGCCAGCCGCCATGGCCGGAGCTATGCCGATCCAAAGCCAGGAGCCAGGTGTTTCTTCCTGGTCTCCCATGCGAGTGCAGGGGCCCAAGCACTTGGGCCATCCTCCACTGCCTTCCTGGGCCACAGCAGAGAGCTGGACTGGAAGAGGAGCAACCGGAGCTAGAACCCAGCACCCATATGGGATGTCAGTGCCACATGCAGAGGACTAACCTAGTGCACCACCATGCCGGCCCTGTCTACAACTCTGCTTCTTAAAACACGTTATACATGCCTTGAAGACAAAGATTAACATGGCACTTCTTTTACATTCCTTCAAATATCTTGCATAGATTTGGACTAAATTTGATCAGGTTCACAACTCCAAATTCACTGATGTGATTAATTCCAAAATCTCTTTCTCTGCTCCCAATCCTCATCTAATTTCCATACCCACCATTGGCAACTGCCCCAAGGAATTTCCCCTGAACACTTCAGAGCTATCCAGCATGGTCTTCTTCCAGGATTCCCTATCTATGGGTGATGGCACCAACAGGGAAGACTGGGAATTATCCAGGAACCCTCCCTTTGTTTCATAGATTCACACACTTCTGCTCTGCCAGCAATTCTGCCTATCCCACCTTCTAAACATCTCCTTAACACATTGCTTCCCCCTCTACTAATTTTCTTGCCTCCTGCTCTGGTTTAGTAGTCCCCTAACTAGTCACCCCATCTCCCTATCTCCTCCCCTGCTTTTGCATCCTTCTACTTTCCAGAGGTACTATCCTAACATGTACATCCATCTACATCACTGAATTCCTTGCTTCTGCATCCAGTGTATCTGTGGTCTTTCCTCAACGGCAGAGTAAAATGTAAGCTATGGCACCATCTCTTGTCTATCGGTCTCTGACAACCTGCCATGCCTCAACTTCTATCACTCATCTTCACTCAGCATTTCTCAACATTTTGCTCATGATCAGCCCCCTAAGCAGCCTTTTTAGTTAGTTTATTTCCAAATCGTCTCCTAGGACATTTTAAAAATACTGATACTGATATCTTGTATATCTGTTATGTAGTATACACACACTTACCTACATACACACATACAACCCGAACCTTATATGTACATTTACACATTAAAGAATAATATATTTTTCTCTTTTTCCCTCCAAGTCCAATTTTTATCTCCTGGGAGGGGAGGGAAGGAGGGGTGATGCTGCCCCAGGTGAAAATGTGACTCTTGCAGAAGTGCTGGGGAAGCTTGTGTGTGCTCAGGCCTTACTGCTTGCACTTAGAAGCACTTCCCTCGTGCAGAAATTTGCCTACTGATTAATTCTACCATCATTATTTAAAGCACAGGCCGGATCAAAGCTAAGTGGAGGACCTTTCAAACGCTCACAGGCTGACCTGGCTGTTCATGTCTGGGATCCCATTGCATCAGGTCTTAAGGACGGGTTCCTGGGCTTGATCTGTGTGTCTCCCTTATCAGTGAACTAACTCCTTGGACTAAAGGATACTGTCCGTCTTCTCTGTATTATGTCTTGAATTGTGTCCTTGCCAAAAGACACACATGGAATTGCTAAGTCCCAGCCCCAGAAAGTGACTGGATTTGGAAATGGGGCCCCCAAAGAGGTAGTTAATTTAAATGAGACTGTTAGAGCAGGCCCTGATCCAATCTGACTGGTGTGTTTATAAGAAGAGGAGACTTGGGCACACAAAGACACATCAAGATATGTGTGTCTAGAGGAAAGACCACGTGAGGACATAGGGAGAAGACAGCAGTCTGCAAGCCATGGAGAGAGGCCTCAGGAGACACCAACCCTGTCAACACCTTGATCTCAAATGACTCCAGAATGCTAGAGAACAACCTTCTATTCCTTATGCCACCCAGTCATAACAAACAGCCCGCACAAACGAACGATCCTTACATTCCAAACACCAAGCCTAGGCCTGGTAATGAACAAACTTATGCAGGCTGGTTGGTTGGTTGGTTGGGTGAATGAATGACTGAATGGAAAACTTGTTCTCAATAAATGCCTGTGTACGGAGGTTGTATGCAATCAAGCTAACGTGATTCACAGCTGCAAGCTGTCCACTTTTTACAAGGCCGGCAGAGCTCATAGAGTCCAATTAATTTACCTTGATACTCTATGGGTGATTGCTTTGCATTCTTAAGATAAGTATTCTTATATGAGATAACAGAATTACAAGAAATGAAATATTTTGTCTTCAAAGGGTGAGCCTCTGTAAAAATCCTATCACACATATTCCAAGTCATAAAAAGGAATAAAAATGACAATGAAAAGGAATTCCCCTGAAAGACCAACAATAAACACAGACGACAGATGACCAAAAGCCATTTGAGAGAAAGAGATCTGGGATGAAGACTGGCCGTGTGGGAGCCCCTTGCCAGTGCTCTAGAAATCTGGGTAAAAAGCCCTTTGCAGGGGCCGGCATTCTGGCCCAGCAGATTAAACTGATGCTTACTAATGCCACACTGCATATGGGAGTGCCGAGGGGTCTGGCTACTCAGCTTCTGACCCAGCTCCCTGCTAACGCGTCCAGGAAAGCAGTGCATGATGGCTCAAGTACTTGGGCGTCTACCAGCCACGAGGGAGACCAGATAGAGTTACTGGCTCCTGGCTTCAGTCTGGCCCAGCCTCATGTTGCAGGCATTTGGACAGTGAAAAAGAGCAGATGGAAGCGCGCGCTCTCTCTCTCCCTCTGTCACTTTGCCTTTCAAATAAATAAATACAAAAATATTTAAACAAACAAACAACAATAACAAAACAAACAAACAAATGATAAAACAGCCCTCTGGAGCACCATCACAGGCCCACAGGCAGCCCAGAGCTGTTGGTTTCTTTTCAGACTGAGTCATGGAAGATGGTAAAACAATTCTAAAAATGCTCTCCCCACACCAATCTGAAAACTCTC